TCTGAACTCTGCCCTAGCCTGAGCCAGTCTCACTGACTTCAACACATCTATCCACATAAACCCCAATCACTGAGTCAATCCATCTCATTCAGGGTCATCCTCTCCTGTCCTGTCCCTCCACCTTTCCAAGCATGATGTTCCTCTCTAAGGACTGGTTTCTCCTGGCCACATGGAGCTTCAAATCCTAGCCTCCGAGGAGTAACTTGGTTTCACCCTCTCCAGGACAGACCTGTTCGTTCCACACGAGGCTCACAGTGCTGCTCTCTGTTCAGAGTATAACATGGACAGTCACCTCAGATTGGAAGCCTCATCACCCCCGAACTGTGGGCTCCGATATCCTATCCGGATATATTCTGAATAAAACCTCCACTATAGCACAATACAGATAGAAGAGAGATTGAGTTATTTATAAAGCCTTCTAGACAGAATTTAAAACCGCTTTTCAAGAACAAAGGCGGAATGACTCACTCAGAAAAACGACAAATCCTACCTCATGTCACTGATCTTTGGTTTGTCCTTAAGCGAAATATCATAAATGGCAATTCTGTGATGGGCAAGCAAAGGTTGAATACTTCCCTAAAGGCTGTGCCAGATATTAAGTGTTGGAGGTTTGGTGACACCAAAGGTTGAAAGACAAGTCTCCTGTACTACAAACCCCTGAAATCCATCTTTGCAGAATGACAGAACGTGTATTAGCTTATGAGGTCCACCCATCAGTGATAACGTCTACCTCCTGGTGTGGCTTTCCACTTCAGTGCAGGACAGGGCTTGGGAGTGCTGAGGTCACATCACACATTATGGCCATCATTCTGTATATGAGGGTGGCAAGTGACCCGAGCTCCAGCTATCACTGAAAATGCAGAACGGCCAGCTACAGGGCAGGGAGCCTCTGTGGCGGGAGTCACACCCCAGATACAGCCAGAGGTTGCTGAGGTCACCCGAGCTGACCTTGCTAAGTCCTGGCTTGGTTCAGCTCTTCCAACACCTACCTCCCTGTCCTCCTCTGGACCTTTCTACACATTCCTCCCTTCTGTGAGGTTCTGCAAGAGGTAACCTCCAGAACACACCCCCCCCCCCCCCCCAACCCCCAGGCCCCTGGGTTCTACACCAAAGTCTGGCAACCATCCTTCTGCCCTTAGCACTCAGCTTGTACCTGGGATACATAGAATCTTACTCACGTGTGCAGGTAGGTACCTCTGACTTTTATGACCTTTGTGCTCAGCTCCCTGAGAGGACATGATCAAAACACTTCTGCAAACTCCTCATAATGCCTCCTTACAGCATCTTGCTCCAATCAGTTATGAGACACTGAAGGACACAAATAATCCACAAATGGGAAAACAGCTCAGAACCGCACGGTGGCCACTTGTTAGTGCTGCAGAGGAACGGGCCCAGAGGAGTCTGCTCAGGCCACCGGTGAGCACGGGCTGCTGGAGAGCCTGCTGCCACCTCGCTGGTCAGCACGCTAATGGCCTGGTCACCCAGCTTGGGGCCAAGCCCAGGCATCTGCTGGCAAGACATCTAAGGGTGGAATCCACTCTCATGGTCCTGTCTGATGGACTTAAAAAATAACTTTCTTTTTTCACCTAGAGCATGCTATATACAGAAGGGCTTTTAGTAAAAGACGTACAGGGAAGTGGCATAGGAATAATTATGGCAATAAGATCCACACTGGCACCCACCCATTGCTGTCCAGTCGGAACCAACTCATAGCTGACCCCTCTATTGGGTTTCCATGGCTGTAAATCGCAGCCCACCACCATCTCCCTCAGAGCTGTTGGTGGATTCGAACTACCAGAGAGGAGAGTAGCCTTTCGGTTAACAGCATGTGCACCAGGCCTCCCTTAGTAACAGGCAGCATAAAGTCGATCTGGGGATTCTAAATGATGATATACATTCTTTTTCCCGTTTTTTCTAACAAAGCAGTGACATTTTCAGTGAAAATCAGTGGCTTAGAAGATCCTAGAAGGCAGGGCAGCGTAATGTTTTTTGTCTGATTACCATTTTCAGGTCAAGATAGTTAGAAATGACTAGAATTCCGCAACTGCCAACAAGAAAGCCAAACAAGAGTGATATGGAATTTATTCCGTCACTCAGACGACTATTGGGAGATAATTCTAGTCTTGCTTTAAAACGACAGTCACTGTAATCACAGAAGATTACGGGATATTATTATCCTCCTGTGAATTCGCTGTTTCCTAGAAGCTGTAATAAAGCTGAAAGATCCTGAGAGGGGCCAGTCAGAAGACTGAGGCTTGAGGGCTGGACGCCACTGCTTAGTTGTGGAGCCGCAGAGAAGTCACGTCCTTATCCACGAAGTCTCACAGGGCGTGGGAGCACAAATCTTAGGCTTTGATGTAGTCCTGTGGAAGCCCTAGTGGCTTAGTGGTTAGGAACTGTGTTGCCACCTGAAGGTATACAGTTCAAATACACCAGCAGCTTCCTGGAAGAAAGATGAACTATTTACTCTCTTTTGATTTACTGCCTCTGAAAATTCACTGGAGGGCCAGTCATGTTCCACCTCAACAACACAATAATTTTACTCTGTAGGAAAGAACCAAAAAATACGAAAATCTTCTTTATGACTTCAGAAAAGGCCTGGTGGTCAGTTTCACAGCAAACCCCTCACAAAAGGGTCTAAAAAAAAAAGATTAAAAATTGGGGAGGGGAAGAGAGAGGGAGAAAGCGCCATGCCCCTCTGTGGATGGAGAGAGCAGGGGGAATGCTGGGTGCATGAAGATGGGGTGGCAGCCAGTGTCGTTAAGGCCCTATGCATTTCTACCTTCTAAATGATGGCTGTCAGCAAATTGATTCTGCCTCATGGCAACTCCCGTGTCACAGAAGACTCAGGGTGAGTTTCATTGGAAATAGATTATCAGGTCTTTCTTCTGAGTCAACTCTGGGTGGACTTGAACATCCCACCTTTTGGTTAGTAGCCACATTCTTTAACCAAGTGCACCATTCAGGGATTTCCCATGTTACATTAATCCAAATTTAAGGGTAAGCTTTAGTATACAGCCCTGTTGTTAGCTACTACTGAGTCAGGCCCCACTCATGACTTGAAGGTATGAATATGTGGCATTGTCTTAGCTACAACTCCAGGCCCAGCCAGAACCGAGTTGTACTGTGAGCTTAGGGGGAAGGAAGATACACTGTCACCCAACCCACAGGTGGTCAATTTGAATCCACGAGCTGCTCTGAGGCAGAAAGATGAGGAATCGGTTCCTGTGCGATTATAAGACCGCTGACTCTGAAAGCCCACTGCAGGCCGGCTGTGCACGGTTTCCACCCCCCAGCAGTGAGGCTCAGTTTTGAGTACTGTGTGCGGAGGGCACTGTGGCCGCGCAGTTCACTGGGAACAGGGCAGCCAATCCACACGCAGTGCCTCTCGGGCGGTGTGAATTCACTAGCAGCTCCCTGGGAGAAAGACCTGAAACCTCCTTCTGTGTGATACACAGACTCGACAGCACCAAGGTTTGGTTTTGTTTGAGCAGCTGTTGTTATTACATGCGACCTGCAACCCTATGCACTGCTCACTGGAATCCTGTTCTATCCCATGCCATCCTTTTGAGTATTGTGTGCATAATTTAATAATTTCCAAATCCTACAGAGACCAGCCATGGAAAAGAAAGAAAGAGGAGAGCATTAGCTTTGTCTTACTGTGGGGGTGATTCTGGCTGCCCTACCACCTGCAGGCACTGCTCCAGGGTGAGGGTGAGGTAGTGAGATAAGAAGTCTCAGGTCGCCGTGCCTCTCAGAGCAGAGCGTCTGCCGGGCCAAGTACGTGCCCCGTGTTTATGGAAACATATGGTTTGTACAATCTGGTTCCTGTAAGTAAGCCAGCCACTTCATCTGGAGTTCAGCTGCAGAATTGAGCTGTTCCAAAGATGCCAGACAGCCTGGCTGGGCTGGCTCTGGAGGGATAGTTTGCAATGGGAAGCATGCTGCTTTTTCCAGGGGCTTCACTGGGGCAAGATGGGCAGTACCATGTGATATACTGCCTCTGCTGGTGGATCAGTTATGGGTTAACAGTTCTGACCCGATGATACTTAACACCACCACCACTGCTACGTTTGATCACATGTGTCCGCTGGGCCTCCCTGAACTCACCTCCTCTCTAGAAGATGAAATGTCTCCGTCTCTGCCTTGTGTCATGCCACCTCCTTTCATGTGGAAAGCCCCAGACATTCTTCTTCACTTACCCAGAATCCTGTGCATCCTTCACAATCCTCCTTAAACTCTCCAGCTTTCTAACAGCACCCTCTGATCACCCAAAATGACTTACTCTATGCTGGGCCATGCCTGTGGTGACTTATCATTTATACCCTGTATGAAATCTCCACGTCATATTTTATGATTATTAGCTTAATACTGATGGTTTGAAACAGTTCCATTAGCTTCACACAAAGCACCACGTTCATCCTCTCATCACCAACGTCTTGACTGAAAGCATCGCTCTGCTTCCATAATGTTGTTGTTAGTTGCCGTTGAGCCAGTTTACTCTCAGGACAAGGCCGTGTTTATCAGAGTAGAATGGCTCCAGAGACTCTTCAAGGTTTGGACTCTAGGGAGCTCACGGCCACGCTTGTCTTTCAAGGAGCCTCTGGTAGATTCATACTTCTATTAAGAAGACCACCCCCAAACCACCCATAAACTGTGGTCAAGTCAGTTCCAACACATACTGACCCACAAGAACAAAGCAGAACTGCAGCTACAGAGCTTCCAAGCCTGTAAATGTTTACAGAAACAGACTGCTACATCTCAGCCCTGAGGAGTGGCTGGTGGGTGTAAACGGCCAGCCTTCTGGGTAGCAGCCAACCTCTTTGACCACTGCACCACTGAGTAGTTAAACTCAGGGCACGGCCAGGTCTTAAGAGTGTGGGCGCTGGGTTAGAGTCCCAGCAGGATCCCTATGGGCCTCCAACTAGTCACCAGGATGAGAGAAACAAGAGCCTAACAACCCAATGCGCTTTCCGCGTGTGTAGACACCGTGAACTTACAAACACCGAGGGGAGGAACAGGACTCCGAGCTCGTAGGAACGGATCATCAGCTGGGCCCCGTTTTTCTCCAGAGCTCCCCAGGCGGCCTTGGACAGGTTGGCACTGCGGAGACAAGGACAGGCCGGCTCAGTGAGGCCCTGCACGTGGGTCAGGCTTGCACAACAGCACGGGCATTGTCAGAGGGAGAGCAGCAATCACGGTTGTCCAGTTTAGAGCAACACGGTGAGTTTCTGGACAGGAAATGTAAGCCCTGCTGTGCTGCAACCCTCAGGGCTTAAGGATCTAACTGCTCACTGAGACCTTCACCCTCATCCTTTCTCCTGAGGGTGGTGAGCAAAAGAATGACCCTGTTTACAAAAATCCCTTTTTTATATCCCCTGCCCAAACTATTCTTCCTTTCATGGACCTTGAGTACAGAAGGAACTCTGGTGGCCTAGTGGTAAGAACCTGCTCTGCACTCCTGAAGGCAGTTGGTTCTAATCTACCAGTTACTCTGTGGGAGAAGGATGTGCAATCTCTTCCTGCCTCTGAAAACCTGTGGGAGGGTCAGCTATATAAAGGTTGTTTCTGACTCGTCAGGAAACAACATAGAGCGACATTAACAGGTGTCCGTGACTATAACAATGGGCTTGAGCATATGAGAGGCTATGGAGATGGCACAGGATAGGACAAGGTTCAGATCAGCTGCTCACAGGGTCGCTGCAAGACCTAGTTGATGTAATGGAGGCTGCTGCGGCCACCACCAGTGCCGCCACCACCACCATGACCACCAATCTACAGTGATTGCAACAATGGAATTTAGCACAGTAGAGATGGTAAGGTGGGCACAGCATTGGGCAAGGTTTAATTCTATTGTACACAGGGTCAGTATGAGTTACAGCCAACACAATACCAACAATAACAACAGCATAGCAGACCTTCCTGGTATTGTTCTATATGAAAAATAGTACTTAAGGGAAAAAATTATAAAATGTTAATATGGCATCATCATTTTAATCCCCATATTTTCTTTAGGCCAGGGAGTGTGATTTTCAACTCTTAATCTAAAGTAAATCATTCTGACAATGTCAAAGTATTAAGGAAAGAACAGTGTTCCGAGCTCCCTACTGCGGTGTTTGTGGTGGTGGTGCTGAGCCAATTCCCAGTGGCAGTGATGCCCTGGAACAGAGCAGATCCGCCCCACAGGGTGTCCCCGCCGGTGGTCTAGGGCATGGGAGGGGACTGCCAGGCCTTATTCCAGTGGAGCTGCTGGCTGGCCTTGAACGGCTAACCTTTCAAGCCGCTGAGTGTTTAATCACTGCACCACCAGAGCTCCTTTGGGTATTTGTTTCAGGAAAGAAATGGTGCGTTTAACGGTCACGAGAGAGCTGGAGACATGGCTGAGAAGCACACAGTTGTCCAGGAGGAAGGAGACCAGCGATGACCAGTGGGCCGAGGTGACGCCAGACGCTCAGTGAGACTGAGCTGAGGTATCTATCTTTGCAGCTTCTCCCTCCCACAGCCACCCAACGAGAGAACTTTCACTCATTGATTAATTCATGTAAACCAGTTGAAAACAGTTTTTCAATTAGGTTCATCCAAATTCCATTTCAGTTTTAAAATGCACAGCCAACCCCAGGCTATTGAGAACCTTCAGAGCCTGACTCTGTAGTGAACTCAACATTTGCAAACTCATTCACTTGTGCACTGGGTATTTTTACCGAGCAAAGTGCCAGAACTGATGATGTTTTCTGGGACTGGAGTCAAACCGAAATAGTTATCAAGGACATGAGAACGACGATGTCTGCTTCAGAGTTTAGGGGAACAGAAAGGAAGGAATATGGGAGCTGGGGTGAAGGCAAACCTTTTAAAATTATGAAGGTGACATAAACAAAAGAATCTATTTATACCTTCCCGTCTTGTCAAATGGACCCTTTTAGGAGTTGGGAGTTCTCCTATGACAGTCATGAGTCACGGCCATGACCATCCTGGTTTGTGATGTGGGACACATTTTTTCCTGAGCCCTCAGCTAAGCTGGCCAAGGCTTAGTTATTCAGTGAGCATGTTCCCACAGGCCTCTTTCCCACAACATGCTTAGCTCGTGGTAGGTTATTCAGGTCAGTCTATAAAGTGTGGAGGCTAATCAGATACCTGCCTAAGATCTACCCACATTCTGGACATTGTGTCCATGCTTGGGCCTTTAAGAGTGACTTAAGAATTATAATGTAGAAAAGAAGTCCTTTGGGGAGAACACAGACATGACATCTAAGGTATGCAGGTAAGAAAGGAAAGCTCAGTACTGAGGACAGGGTCCTGGACCCACGCCAACAGAGAGGCTTCAGTCCTATCCTCCCTACTCATGCCTTAGTCGAGAAGCTCTGTTGGAACTTGTGTACCATGAGTGACCCTCCTGGCATTTGAAATAATGGCACCATAACTTCCAGCATCATAAAAACATATGTCATCACAGTATAGCGAACTGACAGAGAAGAAGTATCTTCAAGACTTAGGCAGACTAAGAAGAAGACCCTGGCAGTCCAGTTCTGAAGATGGGGAGTGAAAATCTTCCGGGAAGCAGCAGAACATCATCTGATACAGTGTTGGAAGGTAAGTGCCACTCAAATTTATCACGGAGAAGAACATTTACCATCTCAAAGTGGCCTCGATCTTGAACATGTGGATGGAGTGAAGCTTTTGGAACCTTCATTTGTTGATTGGCGTGACTCAAAATCAGAAGGAACAAAAGCAAACATCGACTGCTAACAGGCATGTATGGTTCAAGGACATTCAAAGATGTAAGAAATGAGAGGGGATGCATAAAGATCAATATGCCAGCCACTAGTAAGGTAAAATGGATTGGGGTTGGCCATTCTGAAACACACAACAATCCCTAAGTCAGGAATGAGAAACTGAAGAGGAATGGTGTCACATTCATACCCAAAAAGAGTATCTCAAGGTTTAGCCTAAAGGATAACATTATCACTGAAAGGATAATATCCATACACCTACAAGTTAAAAGTGAAGGCAAATATTACTCAAATTTATGTATCAACCAGTCAGAGGAATCCTGGCTGATAGCAGAGAATGCCAGAAGAGTGTCTCTCTGTGTTTTATTGACGATGCAAAGGCATAGATTCAATGACTGTGTGGATCACAACAAATGTGGCTAACATTAGGAATGGAAATCCCTAACACTTAGTTTTGCTCATGCAAAACCTATCCCTACATCAAGAATGTACTGTCTGAATGGAACAAAGAGACACTGCATGGCTTAACATCAGGAAGGGCGTGTTGGGGTTTTATCCTTTCTCCACACTATTCAATTTGTTGTTGCTGTTATGTGCTGTTAAGTTGCCTGCAACTCATAGCAACTCCATGTATAACAGCCCTAAATCCTGTACTATTCCTGTGCCAATCTTATTGTCTCTGACACACCTATCCCCATTACCCCAGTCATTGAATCAATCACCTTATCGAGGGTCTTCCTCTCCTGTGCTGTCCCTCCCCTCCACTTTCCCAAGCATGACGGCCCTCTCCAAGGACTGGTCCTGCCTTGGTCCAAAATATGTCAGACAAAGCTTCAGAATCCTTGACTCCAAGGAGCTGCTTGGTCTCACCCTCTCTAGGATGAACTTGTTTGTTCTCCTAGCAGTCCATGGTAGTGGACTTTGAGTCACAGCTCAAAGGCATGAACTCTCCTTCTATCATCCCTAGTCATTGTCCAGCCTTCTGATGTGTAGCAAGTAACTGTAAAGACCCTGGCCTGTTTCAGGTGCACCTTAGGCTCCAGACTGACATTGTTGCTCTTGAGAACACTAGAGAGGTCTCTGACAGCAGACTTTCCCAATGCAATTAATCTTTTAATTTCCTGGCTGCTAGTACCAAGAGTGTTGACTGTAGAGCCAAGCAAACTAAAGCTGTTAACAATCTCAATCTCTTCACCATCTATCATGATGCTGCCAATCAGACCAGTGGTGAGGCTCTTTGTTTTCTTGATGCTGAGCTTCAATCCATATTGAAGGCTGTAGTCCTTGACCTTCTGCAGCAAGTGCTTCAGGTCCTCCTCAGTTTCAGCAAGCACGGTTGTGTCATATGTATAACGCAGACTGTTGATGAGTCTACCTCCAATCCTGATGCCACATTTCTCCTCACTGAGCTCAGACTCCCGGATAATCTTTTCTGCATATAGATTGAAAAGGTATGGAGATAAGACACATCCCTGGTGTACACCTTCCCAATTTTGAACCATGCAGTGTTTCTTTGCTCTGTTCTGATGACTGCCTCCTGGTCCAAGAATAGGATCTGCATAAGCACAATCAAGTATTCTGGCATTCCCATTCAGAGTCAGCCACAGTTTGTTGTGATCCACACAGTCAAATGCCTTTGCATAGTCAATGAAATACAAATTGACATTCCTCTGGTACTCTCTGCTTTCAGCCATGATCCATCTGACATAAGCTATAATATCCCTAGTACTATAGCCTCTTCTAAACCCAGCCTGCACTGTAAGTTTAAGCTGAAGCTGAGGAAAATTAAATCAAAGATCAAAGACACAGCAACCAAAAGTTGATCTTGAGTCTATCCTGCCTGAATTGTAAAACCATCTCAGGAAAAGATTTGAGGCCCTGAACACTAACGAGCAAAGATCAGATGAGCTGTGGAAGGATATCAAGAATATTATCCAGGAAGAATGCAAAAGGTCATTGCAAAGACAGAGGAGGAAGAAAAGACCAAGATGGATGTCAGAAGAGTCTCTGAATAGTGCACTAGTGTGCCAAGAAGCCAAAGCAAAGGGAAGGAATCAAATATTAAGTAGTTGAAAGAAGATCCCAAAAGGCAGCATGGGAAGACAAAGTAAAATATTACAATGAAATGTGCAAAGAGCTGGAGTCAGAAAATCAAAGGGCCCAACTCACTCAGCATTTCTTTTCTTTTTTTAAAAAAAATTTTTTTTATTATGTGTGTGTGTGTGTGTGTACCGTCAAATCAGATGTGACTGGTACAGGAGGAGATTACCCCTCCCCTTCCTTGGCAGAGCATCTGGTGGATTCGAACCATGCGCCTCTGGGATTGCAGTGCAGCTTCTTGCCACTAGGCCACCAGAGCTCCCCTTCAGCATTTCT